ACAGAAAGGGGAGAGAGAGAGAGGGAGTGGACGGAGCCCAGGGAAAGGAGGAGGGGAAGGAAAGGGATACGGAGCAGCAAAGTTAGGAGGGAACCCCCTTTTGAAGGAAACTGGAGTAAGCAGGAAAAGGAGGCTGCCTTCTCCACTGAGTCTTAACAGGGCAGTTGTCAACTAACATGTCTCATTCATGATTTGTGCCACAACGAATGGCTGCCTCACAAGTAATCCTCAACTTAATGACCATCATTTAGCGGCCCTTGGAAGCTGCAACGGCACCCCCCAAAAGTGACATGTCTGTCACTCGCGATAAAGACCATTGCCGAATCCCCCTCGTCACATGATCCAAATTGAGGCACCTGGGAACTGAATTGCATTTATGACCTTTGCAGAATCCAGGGGTAACGTGATCACCTTTTGCGATCTTCTGACAAGCAACGTTAATGGGGAAACTAGATTCACTTAACAACCGTGTTGCTAATTTAACAGTGATTCGCTTAACAACTGTAGCAAGAAAGGTCACGAAATGGAGCAAAATTCACTTTACCAAACATCTCACTTAACAACAAAAGTTGGTGCTTCACTTGGGGTCATAAGTCAATTACCTCTTAAAAATATTTCTCCCATTTAAAATGGCTCCAAGCTTAACAAAGCCTGCTTCTACTTTGCAGAGAGGAGGATCCTGGCGGATTCCCCATTTCCCCCTCAAGAATTGCACTTCCAAAATGGCTGAAAGGAGGAAAGAGATCCTTCTGAACTCAAAGGCACTTTTGGTTTTCCTCACCTTTCCTGCTCCAGGCATTTTGCCAGATGTGCCCAACCTCAAATTGAACACATTGAAGACAAGATTGTAAGCAAAAACTTTATTCGGCAAAAAAAGTAATACAAGAAAATCTCCCTCAAAGCCTTTGTACCCCACCAACACCCACTGGAGGGCTTTACACAGCGACTGCCACAGTTTACAAGTTTCAGAGTCAGAATTTTCTCATCTCCCTTTACAGCAATTCCTGCCTGTTTTACACTCACATCTTAGCCTTCCTGAATACCAGTATATGTAACACAGAGCTCCGCCAAGCGATTTAAATCTATCCTAATGTGTGTACAGAGAAACCTCAATGCATTTGTAAATATCATTTTGGTAGTAATAGAGCATAGCGTTCCATGATGTTTCCTATTTACAGCCTACTTCTTTTTCAAGGTGTTCAAATCTCTCCTATTTGGGCCTTTTGCCTCCTCCCATAGTCTACCTTGAGTTTGTAAGTTTTTATTTAGAAGATTCTGGAGTCTTGTAATGCTTGTAATCCTTTTTGGGAAGAGCAAGGAAATATGGACTATAATTCTTTCTCCATTTTCAATGTATTGGACATTGAAATACTTTACAGCAAGAAGGCACAAGAAACAAGACCAGAATTCCAAAATTCCATAAGTCTAAGACAGTGTTTGCAAACTTGGCAACTTTTAAGACTCATAGACTTCAACTCCCAGAATCCCCCAGCCAGCATAGTAACATGTGTGCCAGAGGAATTCTGGGAGTTGAAGTCCACAAGTCTTAAAAGATGTTAGTCTAGGCGCTGTCCAATTTTGATGTTACGAAATTCCTTCCCTATGTTTTCCCAGACGGGTTTCAATGATTGGGCAATTGTCATTTAGATTGAAACCAAACTTTTTTCACATTCATGATTCTGCCTTAGTCAGAAATATTCAATTGCTGCTTTACAATTAGTCTCCAACCTACAATCATTTCTTCGGTGACTGTTCAAAGTTACAACGGCACTGAAAAAAATGATTTATGAATTTTTTCACACAACGGTTGCAGCAACCCTGTATCATGTGATCAAAATTCAGACACTTGGCCACTGGCCTGTATTTTTGATAGTTGGAGTATCCCAGGGTCATGGGATCCCCATTTAAGACTTTCAGACAAGCAAAGTCAAATGGGAAACCAGATTCACTTCACAACCACGTTACTAACCAAACAACTGTGGCAATGGCACAAAATTCACTTAACAACTGTCTTGCTTAGCTATAGAAATTTGGGGCTTAATTGTGGTCATAAGTCAAGCGCCACCTGTATTTTCTGAAGCTGGTTCCCTGAATTGTCCAATTTACCCACCAAAAAGAGCCTGTATTTGAGATGCGAAAGCTAAATCTTAAGCCGCTGCATAATTTAGGGCATTAATAAAAATCAAGCACAATCAATATCATATCTCAGATTAGAAATCAGTTAAACACAACCAAAGTTAAAGGTGGTGCAGATACACAGTGCCATCCCTCCAGTTATTCCTTTTGACACAACTCTCAAGTCTCGTATTAGTTCATTCTCTTCCGTCACTTTCTCACAGTGAAGAGCTCACTGGAGATCCTGCTTCTCTTTGTTCTGGCCTGACTTTCTCCACATGGGTGTAGCAGATCCACTGCTTGATTCCTTCCAACATCAGAGAAATATGGGGAGTCAACACCACCAGGTCTGGACCTTTCACCATTTAGATTGCAATAGCAATAGACTTATATACCTCTTTACAGTGCTTTACAGCCCTCTCTAAGCAGTTTATAGAGTCAACACATTGTCCCCAACAATTTGGGTCCTCACTTTATCCATCTCGGAAGGATGGAAGGTTGAGTCAACCTTGAGCCTGGTGAGATTTGAACTTGCAAGTTGAAGTAGCCTGCAGTACTGCACTCCAACAATGGCAACGTTTCCTCTTGTAACATTTCAGCATCTTCTCTATACCCTAAACCAGCTTTCTGCACCCTGATATGGTAGAATAGAATAGAATAACAGAGTTGGAAGGGACCTTGGTGATCTTCCTGCACTATACAAGAAACCCTACATCACTTCAGACAAATGGTTATCCAACATCTTTTTAAAAACTTCCAGTGTTGGAGCATTCACAACTTCTGGAGGCATGTTGTTCCATTGATAAATTGTTCTAAGTGGCAGGAAATTTCTCCTTAGTTCTAAGCTGCTTCTCTCCTTGATTAGTTTCCACCCATTGCTTCTTGTCTTCCCCTCAGGTGCTTTGGGAGAATAGCTTGACTACCTCTTCTTTGGGGCAGCCCCTGAGATAGTGGAAGACTGCTATAATGTCTCCCCTAGTCCTTCTTTTCATTAGACTAGACATACCCAGTTCCTGCAACCATTCATTTGTTTTAGCCTCCTGTGCCCTAATGCACTTTGTGCTATTCTCTGCACTCTTTCTACAGTCTCAACATCTTTTTTTACATTGTAGCGGTCCCCATCTTGTCTTGAAGGTGCTCTCCCAAAAGTGCTTCTTTTCAAATGTCAACTGGAGTTTGTTTCTTCTTGAAGACATTTCGCTTCTCATTGAAGGAGAAACAGAACTGAAGAAACTTCTTGATTGAGAAGGGAAATCCCCTCAAGGGAAAAAAAAAACTCCAGTTGACTTTTGGTACAAGTACCTTTGGGAGGAACCGCAGACTGGATGACTGACAATCTCCATAGCCATCCGGAAGTGTTAGTTCCCAAATCCCTCCCTCCCTTTGCTGTTCGCGTTGACAAAAGTTGATCATTTGTTGTATGTTATGTACACTTGTGAGCGTATGCATTGGAGACACAGGCCTTGTATGGCCAATCTCATTTGGCCAATGAGAGAATTCCCTTCCCGTCCCCATTTCTACATTCAGTTCCATTTCTGTTCTTACTGTTTGTAATCTTATTCTACTCTACTCCAGCACAAAGATCTAATAAACGAAAGTTAATTCCTAGTTCTACAAGGGAACTCTTCTTTGTAATGGATCAAGACATTTCTGCTGCTTCGGAAGCTCTTCCCATGCTCCATGCATTTTTCCAGAATCGCCTGCAAAACCTCTATAGGCATGAAGCAAATTTTTAGAAGAAACACGAACCAATTCACATCATTTGTTCCGGCTGTGCGTCTTCTTATGGCGATTAAGGTCACTCCCAGTTCTGCATTTCTTTCCACACTCCACACACTGATAGGGCTTCTCCCCTGTGTGGATTCTTTTATGGAGTGTAAGACTTGTGCCGTCTCTGAAAGTCTTTCCACACTCCATGCATTCAAACGGTTTCTCCCCTGTGTGGATCCCATTGTGGTAGGTAAGACTTACGCTATCGTTATAACATTTTCCACACTCCAGGCATTTATAGGGTTTCTCCCCTGAGTGAAGCCTTCTATGCATCCTGAGTGAATTATTTTGCTTAAAGCTTTTTCCGCACTCATAACATGTATACGGTTTCTCCCCAGTGTGGATCCTCTTGTGGGTACAAAGGTAACCACTTCTCCTGAAACTCATGCCACACTCCGTGCACTTGAAGGGTTTCTCCCCTGTGTGGATCCTTGTATGGATCCTCAGTTCTCGAGAATCACTGAAGCGTTTTCCACACTCGGGGCACTGATAGGGTTTCTCCCCAGTGTGGGTCCTGCTATGTATGTCATAGCTATTTTTTGTATTGAAGCTCTTTCCACACATGCGGCATTCAAATGGTTTCACACCACTGTGGAGCTTTGTGTGACGATAGAGATTCCCTAAATCAGTGAAGCGTTTGCCACATTCAGAGCACTTATGAGGCTTTTCCCCTGTGTGGGTCCTTTTATGGACAGTAAGATAACTCGTTTGAGTGAAGCGCTTCCCACACTCGGTGCATTGATACGGTTTCTCTCCACTGTGGATTCTTCTGTGGGAAGTTAGGTGGCTGGATTTACGGAAGCTCTTTCCACACTCCAGGCATTTGTACGGTTTCTCCCCTGTGTGGGTCCGTTTGTGGGCGTGAAGGCCACTAGAACAGACAAAGCGCTTTCCACACTGCAGGCATTGAAAGGGCTTCTCCCCCGTGTGGATTCTGTGATGGGCAGTAAGGGTAGCAGAACAGTGGAAGCTCTTTCCACACTCCATGCATTGAAATGGTTTTTCCCCCATGTGGATCCTCTCGTGTGACTTAAGATGAACTTTTTGACTAAAGTTTTTTCCACATTGCAGACATTTATAAGGTTTCTCCCCTTTATGCATCCTATTATGTAAGGTTAGAGCACCAATTCTGCTAAAGCTTTTTCCGCACTCCAGGCATTCATAGGGTTTCTCGCCTGTGTGGATCCTCTTATGGCAAGTAAGAGTACCTGAGGCACCGAAGCATTTTCCACACTCTGTGCATTTATACGGCTTCTCTCCTGTGTGGATCCTCTTATGTAAATTGAAATTGCCCTTTTGCGCAAAGCTCTTTCCACACACGGCGCAATGATATGGCTTTTCCCCTGTATGGATTCTATTATGGCAACTGAGGTCACTTGCAGAGCGGAAGCTCTTCCCACATTCCAGGCATTTACATGGTTTCTTCCGAGTGGGGCTTTTTTTCTGGGAATTTGGTTCCTTGCGCTGAGTAAACCTCGTTCTACCCTCCCTGCGTTGGTGCAATTCTTCCTGTCTGTGGAGGCTTTTATGGGAAATAAGGGAGGCGCTGCTTCCAAAGGTCTTTCCACAGGGGATGCATTGATGCTGTTGCTTCTCTTTGTGGACCCTCTTGTGTGAATTAAGGTGGTTTTTCTGCCTGAAGGTCCTTCCACAATCCAGACATTTGTGTGGATCCTCTGCTTTGTGAATCTTTTTATGCAATGTAAGACAGCGGTTTGTACCGAAGGTTTCTGCACACTCCGTACATTTGTATGTTTTCCCTCCTTCTTCTATTCTTTCATGCAAAGGAGGAGGAGGGCTCCTTCTGGGGTGTTGCCTGCCTTCATCTTGTTTCTCTCCAGCAGGGCTTTGGCAACAGTCACATAATCCAGATTCATCACAGAGTCTTTTTCCACACCTTGAACACACTTGTTTTTCATGGCAATTATCTGGGTCCAATAAGACATTGATATCTGCACATGGTAAACCAGAGCAATTCTCCAGCTCCTCCGTTAATGGTTTTTCTTCTGAACTTTGCTTTCCATACATCTTTTCTGCCACTTCCTTTTTGTCTTTTGGCAAAGCTGCTGCCTCTTGGCCCGAATCCTCAATCCCCCATCTGTCGCCTGCTGGCAACAATAAAAAAAA